TGGTCTGTCGCTGCTCATGGCCGAGGCCGAGTTCATGACGTATGTTCAAGAGTTCTCCGGACGGGAGGCCGGCCGGATCGGTCCGAAGGTGACCGAGACTGCTGAGGCCGATCGCGTGGCGTTTGCCGAGGCGGTCCTTGATGGTCCTTCATCTTGGTTTTGCCAAGTGGGCCTTGGCGTAGTTGGGCTGGGCCATTCTCCTGTTGAGCTGGATACCCCCATTCCCGGATATCCATCATGAGTCCCCTACTTCCTCGGCCGAGCGTAGCGAAGCCGAGGGAAGTAATCCAAGAGTTGGAGTTTTTGAATTTGAAAATTTAAAATCTTTGCCATGTGTAGGAGTCCCCCACTGCCCCATTCGAGTACTGACGAGGGGTGGGGAGTGTCCCAACTGGCAAAATTTTGCACGTGCCCCCTCGATTCTGAGAAGTCTGATTGTACTACTTGGGAGACGCAACGTCTCTGTACTGTTCCTTTGTCAACCGTTCGCGATGGTTCCTGATCGTGCGCCTAAAGAAGCGCCACGTCTCTTTGCAATTGTGCCTTTTCATTAAGTCGGGTCGGATCCCTCTAATGTATAAAATTGGGGATTCTCCCAATCTTCTCCACTTTCGCCATTTTTGCGCCGCAGCCTTGCCGTTGATCCTGTTCGCCGTCTCCATTCGCTTCAGTCGCCGTTGCCGCTTCCATTTGAAGGTTAGTCCCTCTTCTCCGTTCTCATGGCGTCTGCTGATTCCAATCCTTCCACCTCCGCTGTCGATTCAGCGGTGGTTTGCTTTGAGGAAATGTACCGTCAAGATCCCTCCCTCCGCCCCGACGGCTTGATGGGAGGAATTGACCATTTTAGGGTTCTGAATGCGTTGCCTCTCCGTACGTCCGTCACCGTGGCGTCGTCGTCTCAGGCGCCGCTCTCGAAGAAGAAAAAGAAGAAACCAGAAACGGTTCGAAGAAAGAACCCGAAGTCCTTACCCGTTACCGCACTGGAAACGGGTCCGATTACGAATACGGGTTGTCTCCTGTTGGATATTGATTTTGACGAGGTGCAACGCTTCGTGGGGGATAGCTACGTGGTGCGCCGACCGCACACAACTAACCATGTCTTCTCAGTGACTTGCCCCGATGCCGAGGTCGGGGTGCATGTGGCGTCCATGCGCTACGGCCTTCGCTTTCCTCCTCACGATCTAATAGTCCAATTTCTGAACTTCTACAATCTTCTGCCGGGCCAGCTCAGTCCCCACTCCTACTACTGTTTTTCAATCTTCCTGATCAAGTGTCACCAGAGGGGAGTCCCCTGGTCTTTAGATTTGTTCCGCTATATGTTCAAGATTTCCAAAGTTGGGGCTCTTGAAGGAAATTCGTATGCCGTCGTTTCTTCCCAGGCCGATTGTGGCATGGCCGTCTTTCCCTCATCCCTGAAACTCTGGAAGGCCAAGTTTGTCTTCGTTTCTGGTTTTCCTGAGGACCGGCATCCCTTTCACGCCAGGTTTCCTGAATGTCATACATTCATTCGTCATCCTCGTCCTGCGGCCACTCCCGAGCTTCAGGCACATGCGCAAAAACTGTTGGAAGACTGTCGACCTAAACCGCCTCACATGTACACGGTATGTACAGAGTAGAACTTAGCGGAGGTAGGGATCCTTATCTCCCTTGAGCGCCAATTCGAGTTATCCGAGGCCGTGCTCGGGAGTCGCCCTAGGCGTGGGCTTGAGGAGAATGCCCCGAGGTCGGAAGATACAGAGTCGGGGAATGACGAAAGGGAAGATAGCGGGGAGGCTGGAAACGATGAAGAATCATGGCAGCCATCCTGCTCCGAGGGGGTTGCTGGTACGAAGCCTTCCGGGGATTTGTCCCTCATATCAAGGGTTTTTTCTTTTGTACGCCAAGTCTTTTAACTATTGTTTTGTTTTGGCAGGGGATATGAATCCGGTAGAGGTCATTCGCAAGGCCAGACTGTTGGCTCAAAAACGAGACCGAGGGGCGGAGGTCCAACAAGGATCTCCTCCCGTGGGCGCAACTGGTTCTGTTGCCTCGGCCCGGACTCAGGAAGAGGCTCCGGCTCGGAATCAGAGAAAAAGGAAACTCATCCAGGTTGAGGACGAGGAAACTGCGTCCGAAGAGAACATGGTTTCGACCCGGAGTCCAACGGGTAAACGTCCAGGCTGTCTTCGAGGTGGAAAGAGTTCCACTTCCCCCGACAAGGCCGACGGGGATGTGCAGGCTGAGGCCGAGGCTGCTTCCCTTTCCACGACGCTCAAAGATGAGGGCGAGATTCTTTCGTCCTTGCAGGGGCTTATGGACAACTTCCATAAACAGGTTAGGTTCTTGCTGTCTTAACTCTTCTTATTTGTGCGAATAACTGACCTTATTTTTCTCAGGTGTCGGTGAAATTGAGCCTGATCACTGAGCGTCGAGCCGGGGCCGAGTTCTCTTCTTCCCTGAACTTCTTGGCGTCGGTGGAAACCGAGTTGTCCCGCCTACGAGAGTTGGCGGAGACCGAGCGCGAACGAGCCGCCGAGCTTGAAATGCAAGCCGTGGCGAAGTCTGAGGAGGTGATCCGGGTGCAGGGCCTCTTGAAAGAGTCGGAGGACTCAGCCTCCCAACTGACGGCTTCAATGGCCGAGCTCGAGGGGCAACTGCGCCAGTCTGAGGGCCGAATCTCCGAGCTGGATGTTGAGCTGGCCGAAGCTGTCTCCGCGCAGCGGTCAGTGGAAGTGGAGCGGGATCGGCTTCTCGTCGAGAAGGAACAACTCGTTGCTGAGAAGGAGCGTGCCATCTCCGATTTCCTTCAGTCCCCATCTTTCAAAGAAACCTGCCTGGGGAGGATGTCCGCCTACTATGAAGATTGGCTCAAAACCGAGGCCGGCACTGAGGAAATGGCGGCGGAGGGGACGAAGTGGTTCGAGGGTGGAGTTCATCATGGGATTAATCTCGTCCTTCGTCGGACCAGGAGAGTAGACCCGTCCTTTCCTCCGCCCGGGGTTGACATTCCCCAGATGCATGATCCCAACTTGAATGACGAGCTCGGGGAGAATCCGGATTACCTTGGGACGCCCGAGCACGAAGAAAAGGATGTAGAAGACACCGGCGACGAACGACCCTCAAACATTCTTCCTTAGTGTTTTCCTTGTAATTTTTTTTTTTGAAATCTCTTCTCTTCTGTAACAAAGATTTTGTCACTGTTTTGCTGCATGCGTGAATAGTTGATAGATTCCTGACATTATTTATTTGGATAAATTTGAATTGTGCCTTTTGAGGAACTGACTCTTTAGCTTCCCCACGCAAACAGACCTAACCACTGGACCGTCGCGCTGTGCCAAACACGTGTCACTGCGCACAGTTCCACTTCCAATCACTACGACTGTTTGACTTCCTTATCTCTTCGTGCATGGTACTATAAATTGACCTTCTCCCTGCATTGCGAAATTCATCCCTTCATCCCTCTTGTTAATCTTTTCATGGCTTCCAATAATTCCGCGAGGATAAATCCTCCGCCTTCCCCGCCGAAAACCACTCGCCGCCGCTCTCCTCCTCAGCCGGATGACGCCGAGTCTCGCACAAACTCTTGGTGGTACCGCGCTAAGAAGTTGGAAAGGCGGATCAAACGTCTGCAAAGACTTGTGAATTATCTTCACGGAGTTCCTCAACAAGCAGCGTTCCCAGTTGAGCCTGCTCAGCCAGTTGCTGATGCCATTCCCGTGGGTGACAATCACCCGGAAGAGTCTGTCGGCTCTTCCTAAGTTTCCCTATTATGGCCCTCCCCTGTATATCTCCCCATGGAGGTTTGCCGAATTGGGGGGGCCATCCACGTCCTTCGGCGCCTGGGCTTTGTTAGTCCTGAAGTCCATTGGGCCCGGGGGGTGTCTACTCTCCTATGACTTTCTCTACCTACCAATGGATTTGGGGTCTTTTTTCCTTCGTCCGAAAATCCATGGGGAGGTAGGGAAAGTCATATCTTTTCCTTTTTCAGTGCCGCTGTGTAATAAATGTTGCCGACGTTGCACCGTATCGTCCCCTGTATATCTCCCCATGGAGGTTTGCCGAATTGGGGGGGCCATCCACGTCCTTCGGCGCCTGGGCTTTGTTAGTCCTGAAGTCCATTGGGCCCGGGGGTGTCTACTCTCCTATGACTTTCTCTACCTACCAATGGATTTGGGGTCTTTTTTCCTTCGTCCGAAAATCCATGGGGAGGTAGGGAAAGTCATATCTTTTCCTTTTTCAGTGCCGCTGTGTAATAAATGTTGCCGACGTTGCACCGTATCGTGTAGGGCTTGTAATAAATGTTGTAGCTTTTGAGAATACCTCTGTAATAAATGTTGTAGCTTTTGCTGATTATAAATGTGATGCATTATTCCTTCCCTTGCTTGCCTCTCTTTTTTTTGCAATATGGCGTTAAGCCCTGGTACTCCCTCTCTTGAAGAGGGAACGTCCTTCATTCGGGCCACCCCACCTTGTTCTTTCCTTATGGCCGATTCGCTTTCTCCCAGCTTCGCCACCGCTCCGACTGCGGTTGGGAAGTGTACTCATCCCGATCTGTCTTCTTTGAGTGAGGATTCTGTCTAGAGCCCCTTCCGCCGGGAGCCTGATCCAACAGGGGCTGCGCAGAAGTCTGGCCGTTTGGTGCGCAAGGTGGGCACGAATGTGCGTGCCTACCTCAAAGGCTTTCGTCGTGCTCACCGGAAGAAGACGATCAGTGTTGACCTCAAAGCGCAGCTTGCGGTCGACCATGAGGCTTCCTCAGTAGATTCTTCATTTTCTGAAGAAATAAACGTGTATTTTGATCATTCGGGAAACAGTGCTTCACGTTCTTGTGTTTGAACAATGATGTATCGCTTTTTTCGCGTAATAAAATTGCTTGCGTGCTATGTTTTCTTCTTCTTCTTGTTTGCCTCCAACTCCTCTGCTTCGGCCTCATCTTCTGCCATGGCTAACGCGACGGAATATTCCCTCGGCTTCTCCAGGGCCAGACGCTTGGAGAAATCACCTGATCGCAAGACCAAATGAAAGGTAGATAACCTGGTTTTGTCATCTGCTCCGTAAACTCTGGTGGTTTCCAGCTTCCATCTTGTCAGAAATTCCCTCAAGGGCTCGTCAGGTCGTTGTCTGACCGACAGAAGATGTGAAAAATGTAATTTCTTCTTCCTGTTCCCGGCAAAATGCACCAGGAACCTTCGTGCTAAATCCTCCCACGAGTCGATCTTCCCTTCAGGCAGCTCACTGAACCACTCAGACGCTAACCCATCTAGAGTGGCGGGGAACGATCTACAAAGGACCTCCTCGGAGAACGTTACCACATTCATGAGGGTTTGGTACCGATTGAAATGTTCCTGCGGGTCTGTGGTCCCGTCATATCTTAGTATAGGCGGCATCTGAAAGCTGCTCGGTAGTGGTGCCCTCAGGATTCTTTCGGAGAAAGGGGAACGAAGTCTGAACATGGGTTCGGAAACCTGTCCTGCCCCGTTCTTCCTCTCTAGGGCGTCCAGTCTCTGCAAGAGGAGATCGATGCGTTCGTCCCCATGTCTACCCGTGCCCCCGCCCATTGCGCCAGGCGTCCCTTGGGGCGCTCTCAGGATTGGATATTGAATGGGTTGTTCGACCCGGGAATTTTGTCTTTCCTGGTGGACCTCTCTGTGTCGGTCACAGTGCTGCTCTTCGCAGGGCATCCTAACCTTCCCCGCTTCGTTCTGTAGGAGGATATTCCGCCGGCCATGCAGCCGCTTCGTGGCCGGGACTCGCATCCGGCTGAACACAGATACGTGTGGCTCACTCTCATCTTGTCCCTCCTTCAGGGGTTCATGGCGTTTGTTCGCCGTCTCCTTGTCTCGACGGCTAGCCTGCTTCTTGTTGGGCCTGCGCTCCGGGCCCTTGCCGTTGTCCCGCTGCTGGGATCGGCTCGGCTCCTTGTTCTCGGGTCCCCCGGCCAAAGGGTTCAGGCGGGGGTCCGCCATCAGACTCTTCAAGTGTTGGGCGAAAAGCTCTGCACTTTCCACCGCATTCTGCTGGACCTCGCGACGTTCGCCAAGCTGGAGCGTTGGCTGGGGCATCGTGACCGGCATGTGGAAACCGGTCATGGGTTGATTGAGCAGCATCGCCCTCATCATGGCCCAAAAACCGCTAGGGTCTGGACCTGGGGTCCTCGCACCGGAGGTCTCCCCGAACTGGAAGAATGGTGAGTTGAAATCACCGGGCAGCACCACGCTTCCCCCGCGGACTAACCCGTTGGGAGGGGGCTGCGTTAACACACCGGCGCCCTGGGTGGGCACCTGCCGTATCGGCGTCTGAGACCCCGCGGCTTTTGCCGTCCGCCGTCTGGGAATGCGGTGGCGCAGGTCAGTGGTGTTTTGGCTGGCGACATCGTTGAGGCTGATGTCCAGCTCATCGGGACCTGCGCCGGTCGGCGCCGTTATAGTCATCCTGATACCATCACCGAGATTGGCGGTAGACGATCTGGTCACTCTCCTTGACGCAACCATTTTCTGGAGCACGCTTGATGTGTTCGACACTCTCAATGAAAGCACCAATGTTGGGTTATGGAACCCGGGGGCCTAGGTAACTAGGCGGATGAGTATCGAACTAAGTCTGAGTGCACGAAAATATGGGGTCAAGTAAACCGAGAATAGTATTGTGCTGGTAAGAGTCTCACTTAGAACGTAAGTCCCTTTTCCCTTAGAAGAGAAGAGGTTTATATACAAATTACAGCTAGGGTTCCGACCGTTGGTCCGCAATCCAACGGTCTGGGCCCACTAAGATTGGGTTGTTCACTGGCGGCGTCCAACCACATAATTATCCCTAGGATTGCTATACAAAATAGGTAACCAGTAGGGTGGCTATAGCAACTCTGCCAGAGGCATGGCAGGAGTCTAATCGTGGGTCCCTTGATCTTGACCACGCCAGC